AGATGGCTCTATGTCCCGACTATTGCTTGTGGTCCCAAAGTCACTACAAAACTGTGTTCTGGAAGGATCTTATGACAACAAATTAGCAGGCCATATGGGACAGCAGAAAACCCTACAGAAGGTGAAATCAAAGTATATCTGGTTTGGAATGAGTTCAGATTGCGAGTCTTATGTCCGAACGTGCCCAGTATGTAATGTCAACAAGAAAGCCAATATACATGCCAAAGCAAGCCATGGCCAATACCATGCTGGGGCACCCTTAGAAGGAGTTCATATTGACCTGATGGGTCCATTTGTGGAGTCCAGCAAAGGGAACAAGTACATTTTAATGATAGTCGACCAATTCACCAAGTGGTTAGAGTGTTATGCACTGCCTGATCAAGAAGCAGAGACAGTAGCAACATCATTTGTGGAAGGTTTTGTATCTCGATTGGGGTGCCCTCTCCAGGTTCACTCTGACCAGGGTAGAAATTTCGAGAGCCGCTTATTTCAGGAAGTGTGTAAACTACTCCAGATAACAAAGACGAGAACCACCCCGTACAGGCCCTGCTCGAATGGACAGGTCGAAAGATACAATCGTCTTGTTCTCCAAGCCATCCGATGTTATATGGAAAACATCTCACAGCAGAAAGATTGGGACCTACACCTCCAACAAATAGCTGGGGCATTCCGTGCCACTGTCAATCGACAAACAGGATTCACACCAAACAGAATGATGCTGGGGAGAGAAGTCTCTAAACCTTTAGATATAATGTTAGGAAGGAAGATACTAGGACAAAAACCAACAGGATATGTGGAAAATTTGGAGGAGGCTCTCTCAGTGTGTCATCAAGCTGCGAGGGACAACTTGGGGGAAGCACAACTCCGTCAGAAGAGGACCTATGACATAAAATCAAACACAAGAAGCTATGAGGTGGGTGATGTGGTATATATTGTGGATACCTCTTCCAAAGTAGGCCAATCGAAGAAGTTCAGGAAGCCATGGATAGGCCCTTTTGTCATTGTTTATAAGATTATGTGCTATACAGAATCCAAGGGAAAAAGGAAAACAAAGTGGTCCACCATGACAGATTAAAACTTTGTCAAGACAGAGATCTGCCCTTATGGCTTAAAAGGCTACGACATTCAGTTATTCACCCAGAACCCAATGACAAGGAATCCAAACTGCAAAATCAAGTACAGGAGGAATTAACGCAGCCCAGTTCTTACGAAGATGATGCCGTAAGCCTCACCAATGAAGGACATGAGAATGAATCATCAGATGATCGAGATCTGCCAAAGACCCGCTCGAAAACGACAGGCACCTAAATGGATGAAGGATTTTTTGTCTTTTGGACGATTAATCATTATGTCATTGGAAATTCTAATTAGAATTATTACTTGTATTTGAATATCTTTTCCTTCTTATCCACTCCTCCCTCTGTAGAATTTATAGTTGTTTTTTTTATTTGTATAATTATGCTTTTTCTTCCAGGATGTGTTCCAAATGGACTTTTATTCCCTTCTGATGATGTTTTACTTGTATATAGTCAAAGTGGCTTGATTTTTCTGGCCCAGCTGACTATTTCATAAATATAATAACGCATTGTACATCTCTTAAAAATTATGAGGGGGAGGAGTGTGGTACGAAACAACCTGGTACGATCTAATAATAAATGAGTTTGCAACCTGATACTGACTTAGTGATACCTCGTGGTTCCCGAGCCCCTGTATTGGCCTGTAGCTGAGCTCGCAGACTTATAGGTCACTACAATATTCCTAGTCCATGTGAGGACATGTTTTTTTCTTTCCTTTTCAAAAAATTTCCTTGTCCACTTATACTTATAGAAAAAATAGCTGTATATTGTAACAAAAGTATAATTATTATATCTCTAAAATATCATTTACTCTAGACAACATATCAGATATGATAAAAAGGAGGCACCCATACTTTATCCACATTGAATAAAAACAGAGGAATCGGGTTATGATGGTCACCATGCTCATTCTGGAAAAAGATATCTTTATCCACCCATAAAACCCTAACAAAAAAAAACTATAGTTAAATATAGTTTACTATAATTAACTATAGTTTACTATAGTTTACTATAATTAACTATAGTTAATCAAAGTGTCAAAGTTTTCGCCAAAAATTTTTCATAGTGTCAAAGTTTTCGCCAAAGTTTTTCAAAGTGTCAAAGTGTTTGCCAAAGATTTTCAAAGTGTCAAAGTTTTCGCCAAAGTTTATCAAAGTGTCAAAGTATTCGCCAAAGTTTTTCAAAGTATCAAAGTATTCGCAAAAGTTTTTCAAAGTGTCAAAGTTTTCGCCAACGTTTTTCAAAGTTTCAAAGTACTCGCCAACGTTTTTCAAAGTGTCAAAGTTTTTGCAAAGTTTTTCAAAGTGTCAAAGTTTTCGCCAACGTTTTTCAAAGTGTCAAAGTTTTCGCCAAAGTTTTTCAAAGTGTTAAAGTTTTTGCCAAAGTTTTTCAAAGTGTAAAACTTTTCGTTAAAGTTTTTCAAAGTGTCCAAGTTTTCGATAAAGTTTTTTAATGTGTCCAAGTTTTCGATAATTTTTTTTAAAATTGCAAAGTTTTCACTAACTATTATCAAATTTTCAAAGTTTTCAATAAAGTTTTTGAAAGTGTCAAAGTTTTCGATAAAGTTATTGAAAGAGTCAAAGTTTTCACTAAAGTTTTTCAAAGTTGAAAGTTTTCGATAAAGTTTTTCAAAGAATCAAAATTTTTCAAAGTATCAAAGTTTTGCCAAAGTTTTTCAAAGTGTCAAAGTTATCACTTTAGTAAATCAAAGTTTTCAATGTGTCAAAGTTATAACCAGGGTTCTCCACAAGGGGTTTTACCATGGCGGCCCGCCATGGTTAAATTTTTGTACGCCATGGTTAAACGAGCTGCGCCATGGTTAAAATTGGCAGCCGCCATGCTTAAATTTTATTGCATTTCAGTCTTACTTTTTTAATGACTTGAGTAGTTAATTTGTGTTTATACTACGACTGCCATGCACCTCGCATGCCTCGAAGGAAACCGAACTGTGCTAAAGAAACACGTCGTTAATCAGCGACTTTGCTGTGAAGCGTGACAATCAATGGAGAATCAATCAGCTGATCAGATGGTCACTATATTGAGAGTTTAATATCCTGTACACATGTAAATAATAGTAAGGAACTTCAACATGTTCACTTCATGATTAGATATATAACGGGTTCATAAAAGATGACAATTACGGGCATGATAATCGTCATGCATGCTGTGTCAGAAAAAATACTCTGTTAAAATTTCATATTCCTCTGCAGTTAATCAATTTCCCATGCTCTGTTTTTTTTTTAAGCTTTAACTTTATTATGTTTTTGATAAAATGTGCAAAGGGCCTACGTCTCAATCGCCATCTTAGCATGCTAAGTTTTAATCGCCGGTTTACTCATAGTTTTAGAGTTACTTCCCGTTGTTATGAAACGTCGCGTGGCGCTATCTTTAGCACAGGGCAAGTGGAGAAAAAAAACTTGGTGAAAAATGCAATATCTAAAACAAATATAAGGTTCAGAAAAAGGGACACTGGTCCAAATGTCCCTTTGTGTGCTAGCTTAAAAATACTACCCATTCATCAGTTTTAGTTATAGTGAAACGAAACATTTCATACAACATGTTACAATTCATATAATTATTAATTTCTGACTGACTTACTGTATCAACATTTTTTCCTTAAATTCCTTTAGAAGGTTACTACAGCATGTACAGTTTCGGGCAAATTTTGGTATATTTGTGAAGTAAGATACATGTCAGGATTTTCAAATTTAATAATAATAATTTTTTTTTATTTTAGAAAGTGTTAGTTATTCCATTGTTTTGTGGTGAAGTGGTTAAGTTTTAAAAAATTGTAAAACCAATCATTGATTAATCAAGATTAGGAAGAATAGCACACATTGTGTTTTGGGTCACAATTCGCCTTCGCGCAGCTTCCTCCATGGTTAGATTTTCATATGTGGAGAACCCTGTATAACTATAGTTAACTATAATTAACTATAGTATTTTTTGTTAGGGAATTGCCATTTTTTTTCATTTCTAACAGATGGACTGTTTTTGCTTTCAAAAAATAACTTGCAAGGTAAATTATATAATTCGGAAAAATCTGTTAGTCCTGTAACAGAACGCTTCAGAGCATGTCACGTTACCGCGCAGATCACATGATTCTTATATGGACAGAGAAGTTGTAGAAGCGGAGAGGACTACTTCAAAGAATTAATCTCTGAATCCCTTTATCACTTGCTTTATAGAAGTTACATGTATTCAATTACTTCGCGACTTTTTGATCAACTGTCGTAGTAATGCACTCGTGTGCGTCAATGTGTGTGTTTGTGAGTCTATAGGTAAGTCCTTTAGGCAAAAAGAAAGTGACGAAATTTGCATCAGGATCGATGTTATGATGTGCTATGCTTCTTGCGAGAGTATGCTCCGCTTTTAGGTGCTTGGTTAAATTATTTTTAGTCACATTATAGAAAGGATGCAGATTGTTTTAAAAATTACGATGTTTTTACATATAACATGTAGACACTAGAATACAATCACTATTCTTTTTATTCTTGCATTTTAGAGAGAGAGAGAGAGAGAGAGAGAGAGAGAATTTGTCTCTATTAAAATCGAGAGATCCATTGATATTTTGGAACATACAATACAAAGTAATGCTGTGATTTTCAAAGATGTGTAAATAATTCTGAAGGAAGAATCGTGTTTAATCAAAGAGTAAGCAATTGGGGATTCTTTATTACAGATAGTGATATGTAAAATTAAACTTTACCTAAATTAAATGTTAAGTAACATAATTCTTTATTATAATGAATCAAAGGTTGTGTCATTTTTTCATTATCTTTTATTTACACGCCGTTACATTATTTGATAGCTAAATAATAATGCAGTTTGATTTAAGTACAAGTCTGATTTCCGGTAATGTGCGTAAACCTATTCACTTGCACACAGTCGCAAACTCATTAACATTGTTTGACATATATTTGTCGGAAGTTCAATTAATAGTTTCAATATTTTCAATGAGGAAATATTTTTTCTACCGGAAGATGATTCTGTGTCAACTAAAATTTAAGAACGGGAGATATGAGAAGTATCTTTCTGTGCTATTGGACATTCGTTTTACCAAGACTGTTCTGCAATGAAGTACATTCTGGGGAAACTGCAATGGAGTGCAGTGAAGTGTAAGAATATTTCCATTTTATTCCATAACATATATTATAAAGACAAAAAGAAAATCGGAAAAATGACACTTTCACGTTTTTATATCTAAAGATATCATTAAAAAATGTAAAATGTTATTAGAGATAAATCAGTTCCCTGCAATTCTTTTTGATACTGGTTTCCCTGTGTTTTCGTCTGGTGTTTCTGTTGTTTTCTTAATTTTTTTTTAGCTCAAAGTGTTTCAGAGTCTGAAGTATGTTTGTATTACATGTACCTGTCATATTGTTTCAATATTGTTTTCAATTCATAGGAGGAACAGGACAAGCAAATGCTGCGCTGATTATTTTTGGAAGAGTGATAGTAATACGTGTGAAAGTAAGTATACTATAAATCAAAGTACTGATCTCATGTAATAATAAAGAATAACCTTTTTTACCTCAAGATTTAATGTCTTCATGAAATGTGTCTATATTTTTAGAGTGTAAACCAGGGTACGTTGGTATCAACTGCTCCGATCAGTGTCCAAAAGGTTTTTACGGGGACGGATGTGACTATAAATGTCCCTCTGGCTGTAGTGAATGTCATCTTGTAAAAGGAGAATGCTTTAAATCCATAACAGGTATTTGTGGTGAATGCTTTATTATTGCATAGCACATTCACTTGCAGTACTTCATAACAGCATTACGAATGTTGCAACACAAAATGTAAGTCATGTACGTATATGAAAAAAAAATATGATAATATTTTTGCGTTCACCTTTTATGTTTAAATTGTTGCAGCAAGCGAGAAAGTAGGATGTTATATACAAAATGTTTGTAAAGGATTACTGCATAGTCGGGGATAACAAAATGGGGTTTAAACAGAAATGAACACAGTTTGTTTTTGTAAGAAAGTACTTTATTTTAAAAAAAAAATGTAAATTAAGTGAAAAGTAAGATTCAGACTTCCCTTTCATTATATTTGAAATCAAGCGACATTTGCCAGGGAAAATAATAAATGCTTATTTCTCAGACATGGTACATGTACGTGTATTTTCTCATATTCTTTTTTTTTATTTTTTCTTCGATCTATTAAATAAAAAAAAATAAATGTACACGCTGTTTCGTGATCATGGTACACAGAAGGTTATAGAACTTCTTGCGTCAATTTTAGCTACATTTTCTATTTTTATAAATAAAGCTACTTGAAAAAAAAGTTGTTATCAAAATGTGTATTAAGAACGATTCTACCACGATTATTGCCAATTCAAAGAAATGCGGCTGACACCTCGACTTTTATCTTTCATCTCCTTGGTTATCCTGCAACATTCATGTTGCACTTTATGTATACTTGATTTCTCGACCGATTAATCGATCGGAACATCCTCCGACTTTGAGATAATTGAATTTTGTAATGTCATTTATTTGGTAAGCACTTCCATAACAGCATAGTTCATAGATCAAAGTACTTGAAATGGCACTGCATAAAATTCGTTGACATTTAAGACAAAGCATATTTTACTCACTTCAAGTGCTTGGAATAATGGTATATTATAACCATACGACTTCATGTTCTGCTGTTATTTAGAAATATAACATCGTTTCTAAATTCTTGTATCTTATCTGTGATAGATGTAGTTACAAAAAACAAAGCAGAGGTGACAGTATCAACATTTACAGACTTACTACTCGAGGAATCTACGAAGAAGAAGATATGGACAACGATAATCATTACTGTTGGTTCTATTGTTATTTTTTCATTGCTATGTTTTGTACTTATCCATCTTCATAAGCTGTTTAAACATAAAAAAATATTTGAAGTACGACATAATACTGAGCATTTAATGGATGGACAAAGTGTGCCTGTGTACGAACAAATAAATGAATCAAACATGTTGAGAAATACGATAGTTTTGGAAATACAGGACAATATCTCTCAAGTCGGATAGACATGTGCATTTTTTATCAAAAGTGACTGTATTATAAAAATCCTAAAGAATGTAATCTTGTTTTCTTTATTGGTCAATGGAAAATTATTGATATACATGTAACGGTACTATTTCTATCTTAGGCCTGTCTCTAAAAGTGTTATTTATTGAATAATAAGTTGCTTCATATTTAATGAATATGTCAATTAAATAATTAAAAAAATATTTGTAGACAAAAATATCTTATCATCTAGAATTAACTGAAATGAAATATTATATGATTGCCACCATGACAAAAGGTCCTTATGGCAATTTTTCTAGAACAGAGAAATAACGTCATAAAGACGTGACGCTGCAGACGGCGAGCGTCGTCGCAGATTTTTTTTTTTTTTTACACGTGTTTTACGTTTTGACACGTCTAGACTTTATCGTGGTTTTTGAACATTGTTACCGTTATAGAATAATTTAATTTCATTTATTTTATATATTTAATTAGGATTTTTTACTTTGGATCTTCTGGTCCGCTGGTATTAATTTAGATGTAGGTGTATTTAGAATTTTATTTGAGACCAGTTTCTTTACTACATCTAGCTATATATACGTACGTGTCTGATCTATTCATTTCCTATATGTATATATATTGAAGCTTAGTCAAAGTGTTTTCTAAATAATATGGATGAATAAATGCATTTTTTTGTATACTGTATAGACAAAATTAAAGTCAGCTGTTAGGCACGGGCATTTAATCAAAATTCTGGAAAGAAAATTGTTTTCTTGTATGAGATCCGCCCCAGCATTCTCAACATTTGTAAACATAGAATCATCGGCGCATCTTCCATATTTTTTGTTGTAAAGTGCTTTAATGCTAAAACAATTTTGAAACTGAACAAATTTCTTACAACAGAGATTAAAAGTATTCTCATAAGATTCCCGAATCTTGCAAAATAATGAGCAAGTGACAGACGCGAAATTGTTTTCAGAATTATAAATAAAAACAGGAGAGATAACTCTGATAATCGAAATACTTTTTAAAGGGGTACCAGAGAGGGGCATTTATTTATTTTCTTCATTTTAACTGACCATCTTCATAGAAATTTGCTCCCGAAATATATATTTAAAAAACTTTTTAAAAATCTTATTTATCAGCAGTTCAAACGTTCTACTAAGTAGTTGAAAAACATTTAGAAGGATTTTTTTAACACTTTGGAAACTTAAGATTCTTTAAAAAAAGAATTGTAGAATAAGAAATAGATGCAACATTGAACCTAATCTTTTGATTTAAAAAAATCTGTTACATGCGTTCTACTCCTTTTGATATGAAAATATTCAAATGACTTTAATTTTAAAATTATTTTTTCAACAAAAAAATGTTTAACTCGTTGTTGTTGTTTCTTCCAATTAATATTATAGTGATCACAGACAAAAACTACCTTTTGAAATAAAATTATTCAAATTAAAAAAGATAGATCAAGTTTACATTCGAGTCTTAATTTGATGAGAGAGAGAGATAGAGATCTTATATTTAATCAGTTTATGGATGTAGAAATGAAACTTCAATGAAAAATCGAATTCATTTAAGGAACAGAATATCGTATGCATGTAATGTAAAGAGATCTCTACTGTTTTAGGTGTACCTTTTTATTTCCAGGAATATATTAAAAAAGTTTAATAGTATTATTAGAGCTTTGAATATCTGCAGATTTAAGTCGTATACATAGCATACATGTAAGTCATCAAAACATGTACAATACGTGTCTTATATACATGTAGTATCAAAGCAATGAACGCCGCACGGTTCTATTACCACATGATCAAGTTTTTATGGTCCAAAAAAAAAAAAATCCGGAAAAAATCCCATCCTCAACTAAATATTTTTTTGACGATAAAAACCAGACGTCTGTGCTATTATCAATTTTTTACTCGTTTTATTATTGAAATTATAATAATATCATTTATTGGTTAGGTACCCAACCTGCTTGAATAATGTAATTGAAATGATTTTATTTTTATAATTTATTGGTAAAATAATTCCCGTGATAAACAAATAAGAGAACAAAAACAATGATATTAAAAAAACGCTATAAGGTGAGGATTCTACACACTTCATCGCATAACAAATATTTTACATGCCACCTCGTAAAATTCTGTCATTTTCAAAAAAAAACAACTATGCCAGTCAAGAAATATTGCGAACTAGTCGCATTTAACTGATTGTATAAATATCAAATTTCCTATTTAATTTTTACCCCCTGACGGAAAATTTCTGTATTATATGATTGAAAACAACAAGGCATTTACATGCATAATTATTATACCCTGCTTGAAAAGTCGGGGGGGGGTATATATATAGTGATCGGGATGTCGGTGCCTCCTTCTATTATACCCACCGCTTATCCCCATCTCCTCTTATACCACTGAATGAATTTTAATGAAACTTCACAGATTTTTTGTTACATAGTGCCATAAGATTGTACACCTCTGGTCCTATTTTACTTTTTGGTCGGTTACATATTTCAGATTTTCCTTGATTTAGATTACAAAACAAGGGCAACGCCATTCTTTCTATAATATTGAAGGGTACCCATCTCTAACCCGCAACTCCTCGTATACCACTGAATAAAAGTTAATGAAGTACTTTCACTTATTATAATTATTTATTATAAATCATGCCATTTTGCACCTCCTAATATATATTTTAGTTTAACACTTATTTCGTGTTTTGCCATTATAATGCATAGTATGGGGGGGGGGGTATCATTTAGTGAGCTCAGTGTTCACAGTACTTCTAGTTGATGATTTACTATCTATATTTCCAATGTCTTTGTCCGAGATAGAATTACAAATAGTAAAAATACTTTAATTCTACATAAATCTACCGGTTCATCGATAGGCACGTTTTAAAACATCAAGCACGGGGCGGGACAAATTAAGACAGAAGCGGGACTTACAGTAGCACATGGATTTGCATCAAGATCATGTACATGTACACATAAGGAATAACTCTAAGATTTTTTCATGGCGATGAACAATCAACTGTCTAGTGTGATAATTTTATGCGGTGTAATTCTGCAAAATATCACGCAAGCCACTCGATTGATCACAATATGAAACCAAAAATTAGACAGTTATTCATAATTTAATCGAAAATTCTATTTCATATTATAATTTAAAAAAGACAAAATTAATATATTTCATTTGAAATTTGGATTGATGTTTAAAAAAAAAAATGAAAATAAACACTAGTAGGTAGAATGGTTTTTAATAAATCAGTTAAATAAATTGCCCTCTATTTGTATATACTTGGTATATATGTTCCTATAAAACTCTTTAGTTTTTACAAAAAAAAAAAACAAAACAAAACAAAAAACAAAAAAAACAAACAAACAAACAAAAAAAAAACACTTTAATTTTTGTACAGAGTATATAGTAATTAATTGCAATTCACAATTTTTTTCTGTCTTTATATTTAAAAGAAAAAAAAAGAATTCACAAATTTTCACAACCCAGTTGCATCTTGTTCATTGTTGTTGCCGAGGACATTTTTTGAAATATTTCGGAGTATTTTCAGCACATTTTGAAAGATTTATCTTTATACTGTATTAAAACAACAAAGTTGACAGCTTTGACCTACGTTTATCGAGGGCAATGATTTTCAAATGAATTCTGTAAGATTTTCAATTGAACAAATCTTTACACGAAGAAATAGTTTATTATTGTGAAAGTATACTGTATATTACAAAATTAATGTAATTGATATTGAACAGAAGTCGTTTTGTTCTCCTAGCACAGTGAAATATAAAACAAA